TGGATACGTATTTACTGAACATAACAACTTGTGTATATTTACCTCTTTTGGATCCCTTTCTCTTTTTCTTGAGTCATTCACTGGAGTATATACTAGCGCAGTCTCCCCTGCGCTTGTAGATGAAATGCYACAGCAACCGTCGTCACTTCTCAACTATTAATGAAACAGAAACTCTGATATTAATACGATGATACCAGTTATCATAAATAGTATTTCACTTTCTGTTTCTGACCTCGTGTTTTGTTCTCCTCAAGAATCTGTYAATAATGTAATCTTTAAGTCTTCTGGGAGTCTGATCAAATACCAAAGTGGAGTTAACTTCAAAATATGTCCTCAAATTAAAAATACTGAATATAATACATTGTCAACAGTAAAGAAAGAAGAAAAAAAAAGAAGGAAGGAAGGAAAGAAACATATAAAAGAATAAGAAGAAAGTTAAAAGACAAAACAAATGAAAAAAGATTATGATAGTTGCATTTGTTTTGCATGCAGTTTACCTTAACAGCTTTCCTCAATACGTGCCGCGTCGGATTCTTTTTTTTTTCAACAAAGGGGTAGCATCCTCAGCGATCTTTTAGMAAGGACAAAAATAACGAAAGTCATGCAGCCTCAAAATTTATAGATAATAGCCTTGAGCCTTCAATTATTGTTACTTACTTCTCTGTTGTGCTTGAAATCTTCTTGTGATTYCTTTACTTCCACAGAGTTTGAAACGTGAACAACACCATTGACAGATTTTACAGCAAAATGAGACGGAATGTTGTCGTCCGGCAAAAGGTTGTGACTGCCATCGCAGTCGTAATTGGAGTCTGATATACGTTCGGAATCGGAAGAAGTACTGATTGTAGAGTATTCGTCGGTGAGAAAGCTAGAGGAGTATTTGCTCGAAACAATTTCGCTGTCACTTCTATTTTTGGTTATTTGGCACTCGTTTTCTTTGTGGTATGTATCCTTGCTTGTAAAGCATTTTTGGTCAGATGATACACTTCGGGATTCCTCAACCTCGGAAAAAAGCGATTTGGAGTATATAAGGCATCATTTTTTAAAAAAAATTTGCAGCAATATTTGATTACCTTACTCTTGAAATGAATGGTTGTTATCCTTACCGGGATATCAAGGTTTCTCAAATGACGGTGCCAACAGTCGTAAACTGCTCGGGTTTCCCCTTCTGATACATTTTCAGGACCATAGACGAACTCAGCTAGCTTCCAGAATTTACCATTACGTTTTCTCGAGTCGCCTTTTGCGGGCCGTAAGTCAGGATTGTTCCTTACTATCTGAACAATTCTCTGTACATCAAGCGATCTTTTTTTCCGTTTCTGAAAAAAGGAAAGTAGCAGTTTTTTTACAGTTCGTTTGGAATGAAACTGTTCTGGTGTTTAACCTTAGAATAGGGAAAAATATATATATTTATGTAGCTGTGTAGTCAGCCTAACCAACTTATTGCACTTACCTTAACGCGGGACATCTTTGCTTGAATCGAGCATGAATGGCATCGCTGATATTCCTTTCAAGTGAAATACTTACTGCTCATTCTGCAGTGGTAGGAGCAGCAAGCCGATCTTAGGTATGCAATAGTTGCCAAAAGATAGTAAGAACTATAGAGTAGCTTGACAGTGATTTCTGTGCGGGTCAAGTGCGAATGATGCTATGTTCTCATTGCCCTACTAGATATAAACTAACCCCAGAGTTAGGATTCGAGTTAGGATTCGAGTTAGGATTCGAGTTAGGATTCGAGTTAGGATTCGAGTTAGGATTCGAGTTAGGATTCGAGTTAGGATTCGAGTTGGGATTCGAGTTAGGATTCGAGTT